AGGAATATTTAGATAACCTTCTGGGCTGACAGCTATGCTCAGCCAGAACCCCAGTTCAAGCCTCCCTGTAATTATCGTCATTGGCAGCATCCGGCCAGGTCCATCCCCAGATGGAGGAAAGTACCATATCAGAGATACCTCTGTACTCTCTAAGAATAGACTTAAGCATCCAGACTACCTGTTTGAGAAGGCCTGGCGGATGTGCAAATTAAGCTCTACTTCCTCTTTTCCCAAATCTTACCTCTAGTTCCAGATCTCCCTTTAACTATCACCAGAGGCATCTAGCTGTACACAGGTTGCCTAGCGACTGAGCACACTTTCCCCCACCCTGCAGAAAAACGGCAGATAGCTTGGACAGATAGGAGCCACAGGAAAAAAGAAGACAGTTTTATTTTCTCCCATTGACCTAGCAACTTGTAGATTCTTAACATTTTCTTTTTTTCTTTTTTTAAGATTTATTTATTCATTATACATACAATATTCTATCTGCGAGGATCCCTGCAGGCCAGAAGAGGGCACTAGATGTCATTAGGTGGTTGTGAGCCACTATGTGGTTGCTGGGAATTGAACTCAGGACCTCTGGAAGAGCAGCCAGTGCTCTTAACCTCTGAGCCATCTCTCCAGCCCTGATTCTTAACATTTTCTACCAATCACGTTTAAGACTATAGTTGAGCACATAAGATCCCTCTTCTTAGATATTACCTGAATTTAGCCTTTAGTTAATTTAGTTAAGTAGCCATTGGTCACTTCCCTTTGGGGTTGCAAATGATAATTAATGGTTATTGCCTCTCTATGTGATTCTTTTTTTTTTTTGGTTTTTTGAGACAGGGTTTCTCTGTGTAGCTTTGCGCCTTTCCTGGATCTTGCTCTGTAGACCAGGCTGGCCTCAAACTCACAAAGATCTGCCTGGCTCTGCCTCCCGAGTGCTGGGATTAAAGGCATGTGCCACCAATGCCCGGCTCTATGTGATTCTTATCACCCCTCCATTTGACCCTGGAAGCCTGGTTATGCACTGCTAAGGGAATACTGCTTGTAAGTGTATATATACCAGGACTCCCAGGGCACAGAGGACAGAGAAGAGAAAAGAGAATGGACGAACTAGCTGGGTAAGAACTTGAGAGGAACAAACTGAGATGGGGAAGAACTAGATTGAAGGGCTAGAAGAGAGTACTAGAGGAACGAGATGGAAGATGAGGAAGAGCCAGATGGGGAAGTACTAGCTGAGTAAGAACAAGATGAAAAGGACCTAGTTGAGGCAGAATTAAGACTAGAAAATTAAGATAGAACTTAGAGGGAGTAATAGATAGGGAAACCAGGCAAGAAAGGAGCTAGACACGAGAACAGAACTGAAGCTGTGTATAAAGGATGTTATGCCAGAGGAATTAAAGCAAGTGGACTATAGAGCTCGGTGTGCTGAGATTCTATTTCCTGATAATAGTCCTCGCTGTTAGAAGTTCTCTCTCCTGAGCCCCTGGGGTGTATATTAAGGCTGGTCCTGCTAATATTATACAAGAAGTCCCCACTCTGTGCCCAGCACACACACAGCAGGCACTTCTGTAGACCAGGCTGGCCTCGAACTCACAGAGATCCGCCTGCCTCTGCCTCCCGAGTGCTGGGATTAAAGGCGTGCGTCACCACTGGCCGGTTTAAAATTACATTTATTTCTATGTGTGTATACGTGTGTGGAGGTCAGAGGACAACCTTCAGGAGTTGGTTCTCTCCTTCCACCATGTGGGGTCAGGATTGAACTCAGGCAGTCAGGCTTGGTCGCAAGCACCCTTACCCCCAGCTTTTTTTTTTTCCTTCCTTGCCAGTTTGAGTCAGCACATTTAACAAACCAAAATATAGACTGCCCAGCTTAAGAGAAATCTTAGAAAAAATAATGAATGCTCCACAAAGTAAAAGCTCATTCTGAGTGGTATTGACATACTCACCACCGGGTGGCATGAAATTACAGTAATTATTTATTCATTGAGCCAATTTGTCTTACTTTTTGTGACAGGGTTTCATGTAGCCCAGGCTGGCCTGGAACTCACTTCATAGCCGAGGCTGACTCTGATCGTCCTCCCAATGGCTGGGGTGATAGGTCTGCATCAGCACACCTGGCCTGTGTGGTGCTGGGGATGGGATACAGGGCCTGGTGCATGCTAGGTGAGCACTCTGTCCACCATGCCCCAGCCCCATCCCTCACTGAGTAGTCTCGAAGACATACTTGCGTTTCATGCTGCATGGAGGCACTATAAAATGACTTGTGGGCTGGCGGGAGGCTGAGCGTGTAAAGGTGCTTGCCGATGGACCTGAGGTGATCCGCACACTCGGATGAAAGGAGGGTAGGAGTGCTGTGGGCTACACACGCCCCTCCACCACACAAACAAATGTGTGTGATAAAAATGAACTAGTGGTGGCGCACATCCCAGCACTCGGGAGGCAGAGGCAGGCGGACCTCTGTGAGGTCCAGCCTGGTCTACAAAGAGAGTTCCAGGATAGCCAGGGCTACACAGAAAAACCCTATCTCAATAAACCCAAAAACAAAACAAACAAACAAACAACAAATATAACCAACCCAAACCAGACCAAACAAAAAATACCAAAAACCAAAAACCAGAATAAGAACAACAACAAAAAACTGGACACAGTGCATTTGACCTTGGGACCTTATGGGTCCTCTCACTGACACCCACCTGAGGGAAGTCCTCGCTGTCTGCGGCCTGCAGGGTCTGGTTGGCTGTCTCCAGGAGCTCCTCAGAGCTCTCCAGGGCCCGTGTGCATGCGGCTAGCTGGTTCTGTGGGCAGCATTCAATGGGGACAGATCCCTCAACCACCACAACAACCCCCCCGGGGCTCTGCCACCCCCAGGACCCACAGCCTAACAGGGCTCCAGGTGGGAAGAGTAGACTGGAGCCTTGGGCGCTGGCAGAGGCAGGCTGGGATGGACTCACACCTGAGTCCCCCAAGCTCCCCGGTTACCACAGGTGGGAATGTGGGATCCTGAAAAGTCAGGATGAAGTTTGGGTACAGTGAAGTGAGAGACGCCGGCTTGGAGCTGGGGAGTCCACGGCAGTCATGGGAGGTGTTTGAGCGGGTGTGTTACCCTGGTTCTGGGGGCAGTGGAAAGGACTGGGAAAGTGTAGGGAGGTGGTGATGCCGGAGAAGGTATTTTGGGGAAGGGTTAGGAGGGGACCAGAGGCTCCGGAGGGAGGGGGCGGATGTGTGTTCACACCTGCAGCTCGTAGGTGCGGCTAGCTCTGTCCTGCTTGATCTTCATTAGCATGGATTCCTTCAGCTCCTCCAGCACCGACATGAGGGACTGGAACTCGGCTTCTAGGTCCTCCTGTACTTTGGCTGAGTTTGCCTGCATGGGAAGAAGCCACCAAGAGCCGGGTACAGTGACACACGCCAGAGGCAGGTGGTTCTCTGTGAGTTCGAGGCCAGCCTGGTCTACAGAGTGAGTTCCAGGACAGCCAGGGCTACACAGAGAAACCGTGTCTCAGAAAAAGAAAAGGCGAGGCCACGTAGCCGGGAGACTGAGGTGTGGCGAGAGATACTTCCTGCCCCCCCCCCCCCCCCCCCCCCACCCCTCCACCGCAGTCTGCAGACCTGACTGCTCTGCTCACCTCTACGTTCAGCAGCATCTGCTTCAGGGAGTAGATGAAGGTCTGTGTCTCCTCATTCTTCACGGCCAGGGTGGTGATGATTTTTCTTAGTGCCTCCTGAAGAACAGAAGGAACATGGGCAGTGGGTTGGCTGGATGCTGCCCTCCAGGGATGCAGGCCTGGGGCGAGGCTGTGGCATCCCCATTGCAGAGAAGGAAACTGAGGCATACAGCCAGCCTCTCAGGGATGGACCCTAGTTACATGGTATGAGCACTGAGCTTATATGGGTTTGTGTGTGTGCACATGCATGCACGTGTGTGTGGAGGCCAGGTGTCAAAGTTGGTTGTCTCCCTCTGTCACTTTCCATGTATTACTGGAGGGAAGGTCTTTCACTGAGCCTGGGCTAAGCTAGCTGCCACCGAGTCCCCAGGGATCCTCCTGTGTCCATGTTCCCAGGGCCGGGGTTACAGTGTATGCAGCTGCACTAACTTCTTACGTGAGCACTGGGGACTTGAACTCAGGTCCTTACGCTTACACAGCAAACACTTTCCCCATTGAGCCACCTTCCCCTTGGTCTCACTGTGTAGTCCTGGCTAGCCTGGAACTCACATCAACCTCTTGTCTCTACCTCCTGAGTCTGGGGTGACAGGCGTGCACCACCAACACCCCAGGCCAGTATCTGCAATCTTGAAAGTTGATGGTGAGCTGCAGTGAGAAGGTAGCAAGGCGAGTCCCAGGGTCCAACTGGGCTAGCCTGGGGTAAAGGGCTATATGGAGAAACAAACTTCTCCTGGGCGAGGTGTGATAGGCGTGGGTCAGGATAGCCTGGAAAGTGGATGGAGTTCATTTGGGCAACCCGAAGGTCTCACTTGCGAAGGGCGGTGCTTGGAGAGGGGGATCCCCAGGGCAGGTGGAGGAGGAGGGCGCCGGCTCCCGGCACCCACCCGGGGGTGGGGGTGGGGCTGGGCACTGCGGAGCTGGGGGCGGTGACCTGCGGGGTGAGTCTCCAGCTGAGCCCAGGCTAGGACGATGAGGAGCTGAATGAGGGGGAGAAGGATTGGGGTCTGCGTGTTAACCCGAGCCATGGTGCAGGCGGCCGTGAGGGGGAGGGGCGCTGCGGCATCACCTGGTCCCCTCCCCACGCCCGCTCCGCGCATCCCTCCTGGTCCTACCCTCTGGTCCTCCATAGCTGCAGCCCTGGGTCTCCCCGACCCCGCCGCGGGGTCCCCCTCAGCTGGTTCTCCAAACACTCAAGCCTCCTTGGCCGCAGCCGGCAGCCAATTAGCCCTCCGCGCCCTCGCCGCCTCCGCCGCCGCGCCCCCGGTCAGCGCTCCATCACTGCATGTATTGCGCATGCGCACCCGACCGGCGCTGCCGGGAATTGTAGTCCGGCGCTGGGACTCGCCTTCCTCCAGAGCATGGATATCCCGGTGTGATATTGGGAGGAAAGAGAGAGCACCTAGGCAGAAGTCAGGGTATCTGGCTTTGGCCTCAGGTCCTGGCTTGTGACCTCGGAGGCACCCCTTATGCACCCCCACATCGTCTCCATTTGCTCCTCAAATTGGCACCCCAGGGGCTCTGAGAACTGTCCTTTGATGGCTCGTGGTTCAGAACAATTCCAGGAAGCGCCCAGTGAGAAAGTAGGTCACACAGTGGTGGAGTGTGAGACTCTGAACTCTACCGCACTGACCACTGACCCCGGACTGGGACTGAGGCTGAGGGCTGACGGCTAGGACCTCCGGGCTCCAACTTTGCCCAGGCCTTGGAGCAGCAACCAGAACCTGTAAGAGACAGAACTGGCCTCGACGGACCGAGACTGCTTCGTTCACCCAGACAGGGATCCCAGCCTCCCACGGGGTTGGCTGACCACAGACGGGCTTGGGGACAGCTACGATAGTCGTATAGATATACACAGCCCACCAGGAAGTCACTGATGTCCTTGTGGTTTGACTGAGAACAGAGTGACTGGTTTTTGCTACCAGAGCAGGTCTCTCTCTGTAGCTCACAGAAATCTGGAACTCACAGAAATCCAACCTGCCTCTGCCTCCCGAGTGCTGGGATTAAAGGTGTGCGCCACCACACCTGTGAGTCACTACAGAAATCCGCTGACATGGCCTGTACCTGCTCCATGTGAGGCCTGGGCCTCATGCCCTGCACTGAAACAAGCCGACGACTTAGGGACCCTGGAACTGAGGCAGAGGGATCTTAATGTATTGACTGACTTTTTGAGAAGTGTCTCATTGCCCAGACTAGCCTCGTGCTCCCTATGTAGCCAAGGCTGCCCTTGAACTCGATCCTCCTGCCTCCACCTCCCCATCACTGGGATGACGGGTGTGCCCTACCATGCCTGTTTTGTGGGGTTCTGGGGCTGGAACCCAGGCCTTGCACTCGCTGGACAAGTGCTCGGCTCACTGAGCCCAGCCCCGGGCTCCCTCATCTGGCACTCATTCCTTGCTGTCCCTCTGTCCTACACTCTGCTGTGGCTCTTCCTCTGTCCTCTGTAGTATCTTTCAGAGAGATTTTCACTCCCATGAACCCAGTCTCTACATCCACAGATGGATGCATACTTCCTTTTTTGATGTAGAATGCTTTGGGGAAACTGAGGCACGGGGTGGAAGGAACTGGACCCTCTTTCCCCACAGCCTGAAACACAGGATGTAGGTCTGCCTGCCCTCTGTGTTTCTCCGCCCCCCATGTCACCTCAGTGGGGGTGGAGTGGACGCTGTGACAGGAAGAGTGTGTGTGGGGGCTGGGCGAGCCGGGTGCAGCAGGGCGGGCCTGGGACCTGGATGGCTCAGGGATGGGCTCTCCTGGCTGGACATTCATCCTGCTGCAGCTCTGGGGTGAGTACCTGGGGGTCCCCACCTTGTGCACCCCCTCCTGCTGTCCAGCCCTCTTCAGCTGCCTGATCCCCCATCAGAACCACCCTGAACTTCTGGATGCTTGGGCCCTTACAGGGTCTCTGGAGGAACCCAAACCATGACCTAAACACTGGCCTGCAGGGACCGGAACCCAGGCTGTGGGGTCCGGAACCAGCCTCTGGCCCGCACACTTGTGTTCATTTGAGACAGGATCTTGCTTTTGGGGGTCAGGTTCCCACTCTGTAGCCCAGGCTGGCCTGGAACTCAGAGATCTGTCTCTGCCTCTGGAGAGCTGGTATTAAAGGTGTGTGTCACCATGCTCCACAAGAGATTTATATATATATGGGGTGTGTGTGCATGTGAGTGCAGGGGCCCCCAGAGGCCAGAGGTGTGGGGTCTCCCGAAGCCTCAGAAACCACCAAGCCATCGCATCGTGGTGTATGTGTGTATGCATGTCTAGGTGCGTATGTCTGTATGTATATGTGTGTATATGTATGTCCATGTGTGTATATGTATGTATATGCATGTCTATGTGTGTATGCATCCATGTGTATATACATGTCTATGTGTGTGTGTATGTATGTGTCAGTATGTATTTGTGTGTGTGTGTGTGCATAGAGGCCATATGTTTACCCCTAGAATCTTCCTCAGTCCATCTCCACCGATTTTCTGAGATCCAGTCTCTCCTTGGCCAGAGGATGGCCTGTGGGAACAACTGGTAGAGAGCGCTAGGATAATCCAGGCTCTGTGTCCCCAGCACGGGGTGACACCACCACGCTCCGTCTTCTTCAGTTCCAGGAACTCAGGCCCTCATGGGGCTTGCTAGACTTGTGCGACATGCGTGTCTTTCCTAGGCCTGCAGGGAGCTGTGAGCCTGAGTGTGCAGCAGTGGCCCCCGTGCGTGAATGTGACACAAGGCGGCGAGATGTCACTGTTCTGCGGGGTGAAGCAGAGTCAGTCCTGGGAGAGGCTGCGTGTGGAGTGGGCCCGGAACAACGTCGTTTTTTGCCACCTGCTCATCTCCAATGGCAGCCTCAACCCTGAAGACTGCAAGTTTCGGGGACAGCTGTCCTGGTGGCCACCCGCAAACTTCAGCCTGCGGCTGGACCACGTGAGCCTTAATGACAGCGGGGACTACGTGTGCCGGGCCACCCTGGAGATCCCCAAGTTGCAGAAGGCCAAGGGCAACGGGACCGCAGTCAATGTAAAAGCAGGTATGAACAGGATGAGGCAGCATGTGGGTAGGGGAGGCTCTGGAATCCCCAGACTCCCGAATCTCTGGTCATATCTGAGTATAAAATTGCTCACAGCACACTTGCAACACCAGCACTTGGGAAGCTGAGGCAGGAGGATGCCAGACTCAAAGTTAGGTTGGGTTCCATAGTGAGTGAGAGAAAGAAAAGTAGCAGGCAGTGAGGCAAGAGGGTCAGAAGTTCACGGCCAGCCTGGGCTACATGAGATCCTGTCTCAAAAAGCTGTGCAAGGCATTGGAGAGGCAGCTCAGAAGTGAGAGCACCAGCTGCTCTTGCAGAGGACCTGGATCAGTTCCCAGTACCCACGTGCCAGCTCACAGCCACTTGTCACTACAGCTCCAGGGGACCTGCCGCCGCCCTTCTGGCCACCATTGGTACTGCATGAGCACATACTCAAACATAAAAATAGTCATTTCAAAAAATGGCAGACCTGTCGTCCCTGGCACTTAGGAGGCTAGCCTGAGCTACAGAGGGAGACCCTATCTCGATATATAATAGAAGAGCCCGTGTGGAGCGTTCTGGAGGGTGAGCTTCAGTGGGATGTGGCGGCACTTGCCTGTTACCCTACTGCTCACCGGAAGCTGAGGCAGCCCGAGGATTGCCAAGAGTTCAACACCAGCCTGGGTTTCACCGCCTCAGACAAAACAAAGGCAAACCCCGCTGTGTTCAGCTTGGGTGCCTTGGAACAGGGCGCACATTCCTCCCTGTCTGTCATGGCAGGGCCTTTTGGGACCCAGTAGCCTTGGCCTGGCACCGTCTCAGTGGTTCCTGCCGGTCTGTGTTGTGCTAGTTCCCATTTGCCAGGATGGAGCGCCCGGTGTGTTCTTCTCAGCTGGCAGGGAGACCTTGTCATTGCGGGAGCTGTGTTCTGGCTGTGTGGCTCATCACCACCAGCCTGAGGAGTAGCCAGTTAGCATGCTGCAGGGGTGGGGAGCAGTTGCCCCCAGCTGGCTTCTTTACCCCCAACAGCTTCCAGGGACCCCTGCTCACATGAGCGCCTGCAAGAGGAGGGTTTGGGGGTGACCCATCTTCTGTAAGTCCCGAGAGCTCCTCTTTTGATTGTGGTTCCTAGCAGTCGTATAGACCTGGACTCCAGCCCTGCGTGTTCATTGATTGGCTGTGTGACCCGGGGCTTGAGTTCCAGCCCGTCACCTGTCCTGCCACACACAGCTATGGGCTTTCCTGTCTTGGCAGAGTGAATTCAGAGTGATGGCGTTTAGTGTACTTTGTACTAAGATTTGGGGCTTGGCTGAGAGGTAGAGTGAGGGGCTGGGGGCAGAAGTCATTTGGAGGAGAGAGCGTCTCGAGAGGAATTTGGAGCTACCACGGATAGAATCCCTAGTTTGCAGTTACACCTCACCCCACCGATAGCCCAAGAAGACGCTATACTCACTTATTTTCAGAAGAGACACTGAGGGTCTAGCTGGACAGCTGCCTAAATCGCCGAGCCTGCCAGGTTCAGTATCCTGAGGCGGGGAGGAGAGAGGCGGCTGCAGGTGTCTGGGCTCCCCAGTGGTCATTCTCCTGAAACGGGAACCTCTTCCCTGCAGGTGGCCTCCAGCTGCAGGAGACCCCCCGCCCTTCAGGTGAGCCCTTCCCCTCCTCCCACCTGCCCTACCCTGCCTGCCCCTCCTCCACAGACAGTCCTCTCTGTGTCCCCACCCAGGGCTCCTGTTGGCGCTTCTGGTGGCTGGGGGTGTGGTGGCAGCCTTGGTGGTGCTGGGTGCTGTGTTGTGGGGTCTCAGCAGGTGTCGTCGGGAGGACTCGGGGGAGAGCACCTGCCCAGGTGAGTCTCACCCGAAGGAACGAAGGAATCTCTGTACATGGTGCTGCCGCCCCGGTGTGGCAGACGTCGGACTGCAACACCTTGCCAAGGGGACCGGGGGGGGGGGGGGGGGGGGGGGGGGGGGGGGGGGGGGGAGGCTGCGTAGCAGGGAAGGCTGGCCCCTCCCTGTGCCAAGACAGCTGGGGCCACTCTTAATTTACTGTCGCCCCCAGAAAATTCTTTCTACAGCAATGTCCTCTACCGGCCCCGGGAGGGTCCACGCAGGCTTCAGGACCTGCCTAAGGAGAAGGACACAGCCAGGGACCAGAGAGCCCAGGCCATCTATCTCCCCACCTTCCCCAAGCCTGCCCCGCGCCAGCAGCTTCCCGTCAACAAACCCAGCCCCAGGCCCAGGCCCGGCCACACCATCTCTGCCCACTGTGAGTCTCTCGCGAGCCCCAGGAGGTAGGGACAGGCCACATGCCAAGAGGGATCCTGGAAGTCGAAAGAGGCTTTGGAGACCCCTAAGAACCCAAAATGGACCTGGACAAGAGCTCTGTGAGGGCGTCGCTGTTTCTATAAGGAGAGGGGGCGTCCGACAGCTCCAGGCTGAGATCAATGACATGACCCAGGGACTGTTAATAAAGGCTCCTTTAAATACTGTGTATGGAGCCCAGGGCCTCAGCAATTCTACGTGTGATTTACTGTTGAACCACACCCCATCCTCACTGGGGATTCTAGGAGGGGCTTCACCCCAACCACGCCCCCAGCCCCTCACTGGGGATTCTGGGCAGGGCTCCACCCTGACCACGCCCCCAGCCCCTCACTGG